GTTTAATTGATATTATTCACCAGGCTTGTCTTCCATGAAGGACTACTTCTGCACCAGATAATGAGTATCATATGGTTAAACACAGTCTACGTATGTGGTATCATCTGACCGTAGGTCCGGTGCTGGGAGGTTCAGGACAATGGGCAGACTGTCCCCAAAGCCCAACAGATGCACACAGGTCCAGTGCTGGATGTATGCTGGAGTGACGTAAGTCTCATCATATGAAGTAGCTAAAGCCCCGGAATAGATGCTGTCTGCTGGGCCGTGGAATCATTTATGATGCGCGTTTCTTTTTTTTTACCAGGATGGGAGTAAAGTCTTCACTGCTTCCTGTGACAAAACAGCCAAGATGTGGGATCTTAACAGCAATCAAGCTATGCAGATTGCACAGGTTGGATGAGAGTAAACAAATTGACTATGTAGTCATAATAATGAAGCAGAATCATCTTACACTTCTTCACCGTTTCTCATCCCAGCATGACGGTCCGATCAAAGCAATCCACTGGATAAAAGCCCCAAACTACAGCTGTATCATGACCGGCAGTTGGGACAAAACACTGAAGGTACAACAGCACACAGAACATTTCAACACATCTTGGTTCTTTGCATTTAGGATCCCAAGAATATCTGAAAAATACGATTGGCCATTCTGCTTCCAGTTTTATGGTAATCTTAATTTCAGTCACCTCTGGACCATCAGCATTTTATCAATCTGCGATGGCAACTATTGAGACTTTATTGTTGATGCATTTGTGTAGACACTTAAATGTAACCATGCTAATCACTTATCAGAGCTAATCAGATAGTTGGCATATCTAAATTTAGTTTTTCTCTTCAGTTCTGGGACACCCGCTCTCCCAATCCCATGATGTCTCTGCAGATGCCAGAGAGATGCTACTGTGCAGATGTTGTAAGTGGTTTATGAGGATAATGACAAACATTGTAATACTTGGTGAGTAGATAATTAAATATGTGACTTTGTGTGTTGTTTTTTTCACCTCCCTGGTTATATGTAGGTGTACCCCATGGCTGTGGTTGCCACAGCGGATAGAGGCCTGATAGTGTACCAGCTGGAGAACCAGCCCTCTGAGTTTCGCAGAATAGATTCTCCTCTCAAACATCAGGTGAATTATTCTCCTCCATGGAATATTTTCTCAATGTCTTTTCTTAATTGTGTATACATCGAGCCACTTTATCTGGTTGTTTTATGTACAGCCGGATTATCTTTATTTTACTTGATGCTAGATATAATGTCAAACTTAAGATGGGTATACATGAAAAGGAGCTATCTTTTGATCCAATGCACATTTCTGCCCTGGTCCCGCAGCACCGCTGTGTCGCCATATTCAAGGACAAGCAGAACAAGCCCACTGGCTTTGCACTGGGAAGCATTGAGGGCAGAGTGGCCATCCACTATATCAACCCTCCAAACCCGTGAGTGTCTAAAACAACCAATACGTTAAGACACTGCTATCACTGTCAAAGGCCTGAAGCAAAACATGACATGAATGTGTTCCCTGATCCCATTCAGAGCCAAAGACAACTTCACCTTTAAGTGTCACAGGTCGAATGGAACCAACACAACCACTCCACAGGACATCTATGCTGTAAGTTGTTCACAGTTTCCAAAACAGTGTTTACATTGTGAAAGGATTGTATCTTTTGTGCTCTTAAATGAGATTGTATTAACACATTCTGTTGGAACATAGACGCATTCTACCAGGTGGTGGACTTTATTGTCAACAGTTTTGATGCAGATTCTTATAATAGACCTTTTTGCACAACAGACATTCTGAACTAAGGACAATAGTGATAGTGCCTTGTAACGGACGAATATAATTAATGAGACTTGTGTCACATCTGCAGTGAAACAGGTTTAATAGTGTTTCATTGAGCACAGTGTTCAATATCTGAGATCAATATTAATCTAATTCACATTTTTAAATACACCCAATAATATATAGTTGCTGCATCCTTTGAATAATGGCATGATTGCATTTGTCATATCCACTGATTTTTAATGCAATGTGGTTGACACCCACTTTGCTGGACAGCCCGTGTGTATCTTTTCACAGACTCATTGCAAAATAGTCACACTAACCAAACAAGTTTAAATGTTTCACCTCATGATTTACACCCCCCCCCCCCCCAAAATCAGGTGAATGCCATCTCCTTCCATCCTGTCCACGGCACGCTGGCTACTGTGGGCTCAGACGGGCGCTTCAGCTTTTGGGACAAAGACGCCCGCACCAAGTTGAAGACCTCGGAGCAGCTCGACCAGCCTATTACAGCTTGCTGCTTCAACAGCAACGGCAACATCTTTGCATACGCATCCAGTTACGACTGGTCAAAGGTAGGTGTTAAATATTTACAATTGTGGTGAGCAGGTGTTTGTAGTTCAACTACAATAGTAGAAAACTGTGGCATGCACCTCATGCTGGCCTTCTCTCTTTGTAATATTGTGCTCTCATCTGAATTCGTCAGGGACACGAGTACTACAACCCCCAGAAAAAGAACTACATCTTCTTGAGGAACGCTGCCGAGGAGCTGAAGCCTCGGAACAAGAAATGGTGAGAGAAGCGCAGTCACTGTCTGTAAACCTGGAGACCGCGGTCGCGGTATTTAATGATTATTTATGTAATTATGGAGATAACAGTGAAATGATTCAAGAAACATTGAACACAGGCTAGCAATGATTAACAATAAGTCAACTGCACTGGTTGATTTTTGTCTGCTGAAGTGTGACACTGTTTATTCTGTGCAAAAAGGGGACACAGTGAACAAATTGTTCTTGGAAAAAATCAAGAAGAATGTTCTTTGTGACTGACGGCTCCCTCCTGTCTTTTTAGATTCGTCGTGCCAAGTCGCATCTCTTGTGAAGAAATGCGGAAGCCCTGCTGCTTAAGTGTGTGTGTGTGCTCGAGACTGACTCCTTCGTTTTGGCAAACACCTGGACCAATGCCGTGGTGCTGCGTTCTGTACATGGACCAATCAGAGGGGCCTACCCAACCTGGCGTTGATGACAGCTACGTGACAATTGGTCGTAGGGGTCATCATAGAAAGGGAGGACTTTTTTTGGCATTCATTTTGACGCTTCATATTTTTTATGTGTCCAGCTCCTCTTCTTTTTTCTGTTGTTTTTTTTTTACAGCTGGCCAAAGACTTTTCATTATCTTGTGATTTGCTGTTAACTCTGTGGTTTAGCTCCGTGACTAAAACTGGGATGTAAAATAAATAACCACGTGCATACTATTAGATTTGAACGTGTTTATTCCACGGAGTAGGTTAAATATTAACCTACTGTGTTTGGTGTTTTACGGGTGTGTTAGTGATTCACAGAACTGTGTTGTGCATGCCAACCCTTTAACCACTCTCTGGTGTTTCAGCTGTAAATCTCTCTATGATGTAGGTCTCTCATACATGTTGGTGTCTTTACATTGGAATTATCACAACATCAAAAATGATAAACTTTGGACCATCTGTATCACAATGACTCCTCCTGTCTGCTTGTTTTAACCCAAATTGACCAGCAGGTGGAGCACTTTGTCCTTCAGTGTCTTAACTGCAACAGTTACCTGTGGGGAAAGTCAAAGAGCTGAGGTTAGAGAGCAAAGCAGGACAAATGAGATCAAAGCAGTTCAGTGGGGTTCTTCATCCAGGTTAAGTCCTTTTGGCGGGGATACATGGCTGGAAATGGGGGTAATTTACCAAGAGGATATGAATGAGGTAGCATGGGCTGCTACAAAGGCCATGTGTGAAAAGTGAACTAGTTCATAGAGGAGATGGTGTGAATCAAATGCCTTTTTATTGAGGTCATTAGTGTGTCACCTAACTGTTAACTTGACCCTTGCTACTTAGCAGTGGAACTCCAAGGCACCAGGGGCGGGAAGATATGCCGCTGCCACGGTTCACCGGCTCCTCTCAGCTTTTCGAGGGGTGACACTAGTACCACACCTCTACACCACTGTGTCCTGTGCTGTACCAAGTTTATTTTACCTGATTGAGTTTTTTTTGGACAGTCAGGCAATTAGAAAGCTTTTACTGTTGGATTGACCTGTTGCCATGGACCCTTTGAATCGGCCCTTTTGTCCAAAGAGGTCGTCAGTGTTTCTACGCAGCATGTAGAGATGTGTTGAAAGCATCAATGGCACTGGAAAAATAAGAGCTTTGAGTTCCAGTGCACATGTTTCCAGTGCTTTTCATTCTTTCTTTGCAAAATGTGCCCGTCATTTGCTTTTATTATAGGGTAATAAGAGGTGGCCTGTTGTGACGGGTCCAATGAAGTAGTCATATTGTACATTAACCAGTTCAATGAAAGGACACACTGCTATGTCTACCTGTCGGGGCTAAAAAAATGTCCTCTCCAAAAGGGATTAAGGAAAAATCAAATGAATTAATATTCCGTGGCATGTTGTACTGTACCAATATTCCCGACTCTAATTTAAAGAAGATATAAAAAAAGAATATTGTACAAGTAAACCGTGATTTCCCATGATAGGACACTTTTTAAAGGGAAGCTTACAGGCCCAGCATAAACAGGTGTTTTAGTTGAAGTGGCGTGGTATCCACTGTTCTTTTGTTTATAACTGCATCGCATAATTCATGTATTTTTGCGTCCTGTTCAGGGTGTATGCGCCATGTCACAATTATAACGTGAAGTCGCAGCAAAAGCATAATAATCATACTGTAATGGCTGCTTTTTTTTAAGTTTGAAAAAGGTAAAATAGGTCAGAAGCCGAGGCAATTACTTCCTCATTACAGTAGTACAGTGTACCATGTGGCAGAGCCGCGCTTTCTGCCGTACAGTTCGGGCTTTTCTTTGTGTCGTAAAGGACAAAAGCAGGTGCAGCTCAGCGCCGGGGAAGGCGGACCAATGGGAGGAGCCGCTGCCCAAGTGGGGCTCTCACCGGTCACGCTGATTGGTCTAGAGGTTCGGTGGGCGTGGTCTCGGTCATGGCATATAAAAGCTCCCGGCACTTTTTCCTCACAGCGGCAAAGAAAAGAAGTTTGTACGCGTCCTCGGCAGCTCGTACTCGTCATCATCAGGTTGCTACAACTCGGAGCGGAGGTCACAGCACGAGAGGGAAGCTGCAGCGTAATACCAGTGAAATACTCAGTTGTGTTGGACTGATGCTGGGACGTTGTTAGGCGCTTAGTACATTTTTTTTTTTTTTTTTTCCCAGCCGTGCCTCTGGTGTTCTCTCTCCCACGACTGACCAATGCTTCTGCATCAGTTCATGAACGGCGCCCTGGAAGTCATGCATCCCTCAGCGATCCAGAAAGACACTACTTTTACCAAAATCTTCGTCGGTGGGCTGCCGTACCACACCACCGACGCCTCACTGAGAAAATACTTCGAGGCCTTCGGGGACATTGACGAGGCTGTGGTGATAACGGACAGGCAGACCGGTAAATCCAGAGGATACGGCTTTGTGAGTACAAACAACAACAACAGCAGCCATGGCACCCGACATCCACCATTAGACACGTAGCTCTCAGTCACAACTTCTAACACTATCGCACCACATTTATAACTTGCTTTTTTGTCAATAAAACATGCGTGTTTTTAGGGTGTCTGCACAACACTTGCATTTGTGCGCGTTGGTGTCTTTCCACCATAGGGGAATTATGTATGAATACGCATCCTTGTGAGGTGCATCTACTGCATGTAGTCATTTAGATGCATGTCAAAGGGAATCCTTCACTGAAGCTTATACTCGCATAATTATTAAACAGCATCTGTTTTGTTTTTTTCGACTGGCTTGCTGTTATTTTAGCTTAATGGGCATGAGGGATCATACAAGTTGATGGGTAACTAAGAAGATTATATTTCAACATATGTCAGATGTCCCCCCCCCCCCCCCCCCTAAATGGACCGCCCCCCCTCCTCCTCCTCCTCCTTACTCACCCTTGAGCAGCCCCAGCTTATGGCTGTGTGAGTGTGTGTGTGAGACAGTTTGCACTCCCTGCTCGCTTTATATGGTTATTTTGGAGCAGTGGGGAGGTTGACCTTGTGCACCCTAACCCTCCATTGTCAAGTAACGGAGCAGTCGGCCGTAGCACATGATTTGCATCACATCTTGGCTGCTTGGAAAGAAATTCCGACAACGACAAATTGGCTCTCTAGTATTCTATAAATGTATGTTAAGCTTCCCTTTGATCTTATCTTTTTTTTTTTTTGAGTCTGTTTGGAGAACGAGCCCTTAATACCTTTTAGTTAACAAAATATAAATTACGCTGTACTTTAACCCGAGCCTGCCTTCTGATCTCTGTTCATGTTGTGTACGGTGGGAAAAGTGCTGTTTATCGCCACATTAATCACAACTTGAGCCCCTGGCAGTTGCTTTAAGTCAGATTAATAAGAAATATCCAAGGACTCTTGTGATGTCTCATTTAAACCTACAATAATAGGTTACTTGTCCTGTTCCAGACACATAGAGATTGTTATTCTCTCTTGGACACAAAGAACAGCAGCAGCACAAGAAATGCAAATATTTACCAGAGCCTTGAAAAGACACATCAGTGCTAAAGTACTGTCGGGCCAAAGAAGGAATGGAAAACTGCCATGTGTGCATGTTTATCTTCCAAAGTCAGAATCGTAAGACAATTGCTCTCTGTGTTTACACATCAGCTCCCTAACTCAGAGGAAAGCTGTCCCGTGAGTCTAGCTGGTGTCCAACGGCTGTGTGTTGAGGCCGGTGTTTCAGGTTAAACAGGCTCGGGGAGATGAGGGTGCTGCCAGGGACACGGCGTGCATACCCGTGGTTGATCAGCACTTTCTGTGTGGCGTGAGGCAACCCGCTCATTCTGTTTTCTGAGCGTTCCAGTCGGAGAGGAAGCTGGCAGCAGGAGTGGAGGGAGGCGCTCCAAACGCTGAGCGCACCTTTTTTCACACACTTTAGAGGTGGATTTGTAGAACCCCCCCCCCCCCCCTCCCACAGCAAGGCTCTTCACAGTGTAAACACAGCCTTGTTCCTTCCTGTGTGTTCACAACACAGGCCCTGGAGTAGGCTTTGTTCCGGATCCTTCCACAATGAAGAGGCATACTGCTTTTAAAAACGTCCTCTTGGACAATGCACGGCGTGGCCTACATTCGCCGCACACCGAGGTGACTGAACTCTCCCGAGTTGGCAGAATGTGGCAATCAAAACAGAAGGGCTCGTCTAATGCCAGGAGGGAGAGAGGAGGGGTGGACTAATACCAATCTCCTTAATAAATGTGTCCCTAATTGGATAAGCTCCTTGTTGCTCTTCCCAGAACCATATTTCAGCAGGTCTGCCGGGCCTGAGTGGCAGTCAAGTGGCTGGCTACTGCTGCTGTGGGCAGTTTTCAAAGCTTATCATTGTGTTCTTTGTTTGTTGTTTCTCTACAGTGGAGAGCCTGTAGGGGTGGTTGTGATAAGACCAACAGACAAAGTCGATTTCTTATGCATCTCGAGTGCTTTTGGCTTTTATTTTACCTGAATAGTTGACTTATCACCAGCCGTGCTAGAGACTCCGTGCTACCGTTTGTTACATGAGATGATGAATACATTTATTTTATTTTTTAAAACCTTGTTGACGACTCTTGACTCCGTCACCAGGTGACAATGACGGACCGAGGAGCAGCTGAGAGAGCCTGCAAGGACCCCAACCCCATAATCGACGGCAGGAAGGCCAATGTGAACCTGGCCTACCTGGGGGCCAAACCCCGCAGCATGCAGACAGGTGAGATGCTACATGTTGTATTAATGTTCAGGCAACGCAACCATGAAGTCGTGGAAATAATGGTCCTGATCAACCAATGGTGATTGCAGCGTAAGACCTAGACCATAAGGTATGAATATCCAAAACTATATTCAAATAAAACTGGTTTTAAAAACTAGAGCTGCAAGCAGGTGTACCTGGGTTCATGCAGTCTTAGTCCAGTAACACAACCCATACGGTCCATATGCAGCATATTTTAAATTGTCAATACCAAATATTTTTCAGTTTCCCCAGTGCATACATGCTTTACTGGTGCTTATTACGCATTCGTAACTGTTGTTCCATTTGTGGTAGGTTGGAAACAGGCACTGCCTCTGTCTCTCCGTGCCCTCTGTGTATTGTTCTCTGGTCCTCCTCTGTAAATGCAAATGTGTGTGTGTGTGTGCCTGACAGCCGTCCTCCTATCTTCCAGGCATATCCATCGGAGTGCAGCCCATTCACCCAGCACTCATCCAGAGGCAGTATGGGTAAGTGAGCGGGAGTGGGCGCTTGTATTGCACTCTGTGGGACGCCACCAGGCTACTGTTTCTTTGACAAACGGGGCCCCTGGAAAGTACATGTCAGTTTCTGTGTCCACATGCAACTCCAGAAGTAGTCTATTAGCATATTTGAGTTTTGTAGGGCCGGGTGATGTTTCACGTATCTGTGGTAATAGAAGAGCATTCCAGAGGTGAATGTGTGACTCACTTGTGGACCTCTGGCCTCTTGGCTCGTGTAGCTGCCTGAGTGGGCTCCGTCGCTGAGGCGTCTTCCTAGAAGTGGCTGTGTTGTAGAAACAGCTTGGGTAGCGTCTCAGAGCCACGGTCTAATGAGCATTTCACTGATGTAATGAGTCTCCTCATCCCCCGCAGCCCTCGGATATCATCTCTCGCCACTGTTCATATTATACACACCAAAAAACCCTCAGATCTGTCTGGAAGATTAACATACCCAGAGGAGTCAAGTTAACTTTACAAAAGTGGTTTTGTGTTCAGATTTTGATTCGTGGTGCTTTATAGAAATACAAACAAACGGCAACATTCCTACGTTGAGATCTAAGTAGCCCTGAGAAGAAGCGGTTGATTATTTGATCATTTATCACGTATAAATGAAAACATCTGTTGGTTCTAGCTTCCTTCAATTTGCTCATTATAAATTGAAGATGATGTTTGACCAGGGGCCTTTTCCACTGTTTTAAGACATTCTACGGACTAAATTATTAATCCAGTAATAGAAACAAAATTATCAACAGACGATCTATAATGAAGGTAATAATTACTTGCAGCCTAAAATATGTTTTCAGGAAAGAGCTGAACAGAAAATGAACGGTCAACAACAGATCGGTTGGCTATTTGAGCATAAATGACAAAAATTCTGTGACTCTAGCTCGGTCAAAAAAAAAGTGGATGTCAACTTGCTCTTTTTAAAATGTTAAGTGCACTTTAATTGAGTCTGACATTTCATGAATTGCATGACAAATATTGACTCCAGAGTGCTTAAGAGCTACACGGAAGTCCCAGGACAATCCACGAAACAAAAGAAGAAACATTTGGTGTTTTTTTTTTTTTTTTTTAGGTTTTTTGGTTTTTTTTTAAGGTTTATGAACCCCAAAAAAGACAAGAAGTTAATATTTGCCATATCCGCCTCTGTAATACCTTACTGTGTCTGAATGATTAATCCCGAAGTCCACTAGTGACATGTCCCATCATGTTCCAAGACCAGAGGGGGACACTGGAAAGTCCCTCCAACGTCTGTGCTCCAGCTACCATAGTGAGCACGGATGGCACAGAAACCCCGAGGGTTTGAAATGTGGAGCACAGTGCTGCTTTGAGGCATTTGCCAGACAGGTGCTGGCTCGTGTTACAGCCTTCTACACGCCCTTAATCTCCCATGACCACCACCCCTAGAGAGGCGCACGGAGCACCTGTCCGCCTGCCTCTGAGTTTCCTATGTGCGGCGGGTGACAGACGCAGGCCTCCCTAAGATGCAAGAGGGCACAAGTGGCTTTTCTTTCTGCCTCTTTTCTACCCCCCCCAAAAAGAAAAAAACCCTCGACAACATATGGTGTGAGGACATGGTCTGAAGCAGGATTTTCAACAGTGCCGGAGTGTTGTTGTGTGTGTGTGTGTGTGTGTTGTGTGTGTTGTGTGTGTGTGTGTGTGGCTGTTGTCAGCAGATGCCGTGGACTGTGCGGGCCAGAGGGGGTCACCGAGGTCGGGAACATAGTTTTGATGGGGAGGGGAGGAATTGTCAGTGTGCTCGCAAATTCATCTCCTCTCATGCATCACCTCCTCCACGCCGTCCCATTTATCTACGCTTTCCCACGTCGCATCATGTTTCCCTTTTATTTTTATTACTTTAAACACTGTTTTTTTTACTTTGATTTATCCAATTGAAGTGCTGCGACTAGCAGTGTGTCGGATACAGACGCTGAAAACTGACACCTCTGAGACTGTGAGGGAGGAGGGGGTTTAAAGAGGGGATGGGGGGTGGTATCTGGGGGTAATGCTTAATGAGGCAGTGTGCTCCCTAGGAAACTAACCTCTCCAGGTGCCAAACAAAACACCATTATTTCCTCCTGTTGCATGCACAATCCTCTGAAACAAAAGAGGCAAGGAAGGAACATCAAGTCGCCTTACGAGTCTTGTGAGGTGTTGTTTAATTCCCCCCCCACACACACCCAGTCCAGTCCAGTCTTGTCTGTTTTCACACTTTGTGTTGCAGTGAGTCATGCGCTGAAGGTCGTTTTGTCTTATCGTGTAGAAATATTTAGCTGCTCGGTGTGATATCGCCCAGGCTTTTCACATCAGCTCATTATGGTGCCTCCTTGATGATGATGAGGATGATCACTTCGGCCTGTATCTGTAACGTTTTGAGCGTCTCTCTTTCTCTAGTGTTTCCATCCGCCTGAGTGACACTATCTCAAACACACACAGACTGGCAGTCAGCACAAAGCCAGCTGACCTCTGGTCTTCTGGCCGTCATCCACATTCCCCCTGCAACTTCCCCACAATCCACTTGGTATCTCGGTGGCCCCCGGGAGCTCGCTGCTGTCCCCAACTGGCCCTGGTCCCCGTCCCTCTCTTCTCTTTTTGATAGCAGCTAAAAAACAAATTACATCTCCATCTCTCTGGGCACACCACAGATATACTACAGGAGGGCTTTGTCTCTCCTTAACTCTCTTCAGGCGTACATTATTTCCATTATTTACTATTCCACTTAACCTAAACACGGTCACTTGGTTTTTAAGCCTTGATCAAGGCAAAAACAGCCTGTGGAGACGCACCGCGGAGAAGGCGGGCTCATTTTACTACATGATGCGAGTGAAAGCACGCATGCCCCACAGCATTATGTGACCATCTCTGTGTGCGAGAGTGAATGCCTCTTTGTGCGTAGCTCAATAGCACTGTGAGGGCAGAGTGTAGTTTGCGCTCGTGGGTCGGGGTTAACTTCATTTGCTTATTTGTTCCATGCTGCTGTTATCTGGTTTTATGTCATTTCTTTCCCCTTCACTCACCAGGCGTCTCAGTGAGCCTCTGCGACTTGTTTCTACTGTTAGAAATGTCTCCATGGTGGAAAAACTCCACATTTCTTTTAGCTAACGCTATCATCAGCCTCTCTGTCTTTGTGTGTTTGCAATGTCATATCATAGGTGAGATTCTCCATTTTTTTAATGAATATACATCTTTTGTATTGACTCTATGATGCAATAGATCTTAATGTTATTTCTGACAATAATCACTGCCATCCTCCTATCCAACCTTCTGCCATGGCTGCTCTCTGCTGCCAGCTGACCAGTGCACCAGCAGATGATCAGAAGATGCCCACAGTGCAGGACTAGTCCCGAGGAGGGGTTTTGAGGACATGTCTGCCCCCCCCCCCCCCCCCCCCCCCCCCCCCCCCCC